TAAAAGGGAGGGGGAAATTCAAGACAAGATGGTAAGGAGGGCCCTGCCCCTGAGGGCTTACAATCTAAAAGGGAGGGGGAAATTCAAGACAAGATGGTAAGGAGGGCCCTGCCCCTGAGGGCTTACAATCTAAAAGGGAGGGGGAAATTCAAGACAAGATGGTAAGGAGGGCCCTGCCCCTGAGGGCTTACAATCTAAAAGGGAGGGGGAAATTCAAGACAAGATGGTAAGGAGGGCCCTGCCCCTGAGGGCTTACAATCTAAAAGGGAGGGGGAAATTCAAGACAAGATGGTAAGGAGGGCCCTGCCCCTGAGGGCTTACAATCTAAAAGGGAGGGGGAAATTCAAGACAAGATGGTAAGGAGGGCCCTGCCTGTGCCCATTAAGTTCCAACATCAACCAATAAAACAAACACATTTTCCAACAACATTCATCAAGTCTCAGTTGATGTTATTGTGCTGACAAGATTTGTTTGTATGAGCGTTTGTTTATTACAAAATTCTACCAGTCTATGGCCAGCTGTACACATACGCCCTTCAGGCTAGAGAAGGCAGGCAAGGCAAAAAACCCGACGGAAATTCTCACTCCTCACCACTCTATCCAAATCTAATAAATAAATAAAAGTTCAGATATATTTTATAATAAAATTGAACAAAAAAAACATAATTTTCCTTTAACGGGAACCTTTATCTCTTTTGTTCATATATTTGGCTCAACTCTAACATATTGCTGTTATTTTATAATAAAATTGAACAAAAAAAACATAATTTTCCTTTAAAGGGAACTTTTATCTCTTTTGTTCATATATTTGGCTCAACTCTAACATATTGCTGCGGACAAGTACATCCTTTTTGCTGATGCAGTGAGATGGGGAATATGAGATACTTTACATTTGTACAGGAGGAAAAAAATATATATATATATATAGAAAACCGCAATAAGTTCATCTGTGAGATGTTCCAGACTAATTAAGTCACTAACCCATTTGAATTAAGTTGTTTCTTCCGGAGAACAGAAAACTGCTGCAGTAGAGGATTTTCGGTTCATGTCTGCAATCTGTGAACTGTAATCAGCCAAGCCAGCAACACTGTGTGCAGTAATTCAACAGATAATGCGATGAGATATCCCGGGGGAGTGTTTCTGAACCTGCATCCTCCGGTGACCTACTTCTCCTTCTCTACATCCGCTGCTCCGAATAAGATTATATTTCATTTATCAAAGTTTTGCTTTTTTTTGTATTTCCTTGGTACTGAATTATAAAAAAAAAAAAAGCTGGAGTGGTGCTCGCAAGTACTGGGTCAGTTTACAGGTGGAAAAAGGCGCTTGGGAAGACTCAACGAGGAAAGAGGTCATTTACTGCTTACTTCAGTATAAAGTGTAATGAGAACCCGCTTAATCGCAGAACAGAATGTACAGAAAGAGGGAGCATGAAATACCTGATTAAAATGGATTTCTACAGCAACCCGGTTAATTGCTGGAAGACTGCCAGAAACAACTGATGTGGTGATCCTGAATGCTCATTGCTGTTCATTGTGGGACTTTGCGGACTCAGTGCTTGAACCCTAATAGGCATTAGGGCCTCCATTTTGTTCTACCTAATTAGAGGGCTATTAATTAAAGAATCCCGCTAAGCATATTTTGTGTCTGAACTGTCCACAGAACATAAAATCCCAATGCCATTTATAAAAACAAAAATGTGGTCCTTTATGAATTCTGCAAGCAGCTTAATACTTTAAAAAGCAGTGGTAGAGCATTTTATACAGACTTCAGCTAATTTACACGACAGGCACCAAAACTTAAGCGCTGCATGCTAAACTTCTGACAAATACACTGGATAAAAATGCATAAAAATGCAATTAAAGTAGATTTATAGCCCAAACTATTTTTTGTTTTAAATAGGGTACGGAATAGTCAGCGCTCCTGTTAAAGTGGCAAAGTCACAAATATCCCCCCCATGCTGCTTTGAGGACTTGCCTTAAATGATGCCTCTTGATCCGATCATCTTCTACTTTTCAGTAGTGTTCAGGAGTCACTCTGGCTGGTGCCGGTCTCTGATCCAGCGCAGACTTTTGTGTCCCATGGAGTCTGTGCACGCTGCTGGACTGTCTGCATTGACTTACACTGTGTCTCTTCTCTTCTCCCGGCCGAAGATCTCTACTGCGCATGCGCCCGCCCCGTCATCCTGCACGGCCGCTCGAGAATCTTCAGATCTTCGAACGGAAGCAAGCGGCGGAGACATAAGTAAGTAAAACCCTTTTTGTTAACTTTTTACATGTTTTAGCATCTATCTACTGCTAGCAGGCAGTAGATAGATGCAAAAAAAAAAAAAGGAGTTTAATTATGCTTCCTATCTCAAAACACAACAGGAAGTGAGAGGAGATCTGTCCAAAGCAAGAAATCATCTTCTTCTGGTTCACCCGAGCGTTTTTTTTCGTGAAAATGCACAAAATACAAAAAAGCAATGCATACTAATGTGAATCATTCACACCTGTGCTATCATACGCGTGGGCAAAAAACGCGCAAAAAAGTACTTGTGCAATTTTCACAATCAGGATCACAATCAGGATGGTGAGCCGGGATAGACAGAACATCCGTTCTTCCGTCTCTTCTTTGAGATGTGAGTTTGGAAGTGCTTAGCTCTGAGTACTTCCTGGTTCAGAGCTGTTCTTTCTCGGCTATGAGAATGTCCTTGATCAGAGATGCCAGAGTACAGGGGAGGCATTAGGGGTCCAAAAGACCCTTTTGCGACAGAAATAAAGTTAAGTGAAAAAAAAAAAGCTGTACAATAATAAAAAAAAAAGTAATAATAATAATTTTAAAAAAAAGATAACGCCCCCTCCTCACATGCACAGGTGTATGGTGCACATGTGTGCGTAAACAATGATTATGCAACACAGGCTGCTTATCGCTGCACATGTCAGAATGAAAGGAATAATTATAGGGCCATCATGTATAAATAACTCTAAACCGATGATCTATAAAAGGCTTTTAAAACGTCACCTATGGACAATGTGGGGTTGTTTGTTACTGTGCAGTGAGCGCAGAGTCTTGACGTCTCACCTTTTATATTTGAGAGAAAATGTAAAAATTATTTTGTGTGCACTAAAATGTAATTAATTGTATTTTTTATTGAAAATATACAGTTGTTAAACAGTTGTGCTATTAAAAAAAAGAAAAAAAAATGCAACTACCATATTTTATTCTATGGGTCCTCTGCATTCAGAAAATATATGTTGGGGTTTTAAGTGCATTTTAATGTAAAACATTAAAAAAAAATGTATTTACGAATGTGTGCAAAAAACAAAACAAAATAAAGCCAAAAAATAAATAACTTAAAAATGGCCTCAGCCGTGAAAGGGTTAAGATACAGTTTAAGTAAAACTCCACCGATCTCGCCATGCATTTAGTTTCATCAGACACGTGAAAATGAGAACCAGCCCTTAGGCCATCCACAGACAGAACATAGCGGTCTTGAGAAGTGTTTGATTTACAATTATCTGTTTATTCAGACAAGAAAAATTGTGTGAAGTTTTATTAACAAGAATCTCGCGAAACACTGAATTCACCAGAAGAATTCCTCTTAGGAGCTGGAATTTATACTCCAACATATGAAACATCTTTTTGCACACCTATTTTGACATCTTACAACCATGTGATTATTGCACAAGCTAGGCAAGAACATCTTCTGTGACAAATAGTTTTTGGGAACGCCATAGATTAGCAGTTAAACAAGCGGAACTAAAGTCCACTATACAAACGCGTTTCGGCCATTATGGCCTTAGTCATTATGCTATGTCTAAAGCTGAAATGGCTGAAACAGGTTATCATCTTGTCCATATGTGGATTTATATGCCTTTTAACACAATAAAGTATTGATACAGAACAACCCTGTCATTGCATTAAGACTCTGCGAGCTAGAAAAGGCCTAGGGGGTAGAACACACTTATGTTCTATGTTTTTAAACCACATGGCTATAAAGCGGTACAAAGGTTAAACCAGTAAACCCAAATTAACCCTTGTTAAAAACCCTGACACCCCTCATCTTTGCTGTACTACTTCAACTAGGAAACAAGAGGTCCCCCTAATAGGTGTAAATGAATTAGCTTTTATGAATGGCACTTTTAAACATGAATTCACTTATGTGCATGGTTGATTGCATAACACTGACATCAGTCATTATTTTTCTTTGCACGCCTTTTTTCAGTTTTACAACTTTTCTGTCACTCACTAACCATGTCCGCAATGACCCCTTCTGTGCACATAATCTCATTAAAGCAAGAAATTGGGGCAGCTCATGGCATGGGAAGGCCCCCCTACTGGTAGACGGTAATGTGAAGCCCATTATGGTGGACACAAACATTTGCAGAGTAAATTTCTGTTTTAATAAAGCAAGCAATGTGCTCGGAGTAAAACAAAGTGTAAGGCTAGCCACTGACGCAGTGATATAAACGTGTCATTTTGGCAATTTTGATTGAGGAGTGCGTTTACCATTTGTTTTACTTGACTGATTTCGCGCAGTGACGCATGGGGGGTCTCAGCTGCCGTTGTGATGTGTGGGGTCCCTTGTGTGTCTCTGTGCCTTTAAGGGAGGTTGGGCTTCCTCCTGACAAACCTGCACCCAATTTGATCTTTTGCCACATGTGCTCCAAGATGGAGACTCTCATAGGTTAGAGTTGGGACCGCACTATATAGAGGGGCATTGGCGCGGCTGTGCGGCTTTCACATTTTCTGCAGAAGACGTGTATCTAAACCTCTGTTTTTAACCTTAGCGGTGAGACAAGTTTTTTTGCATGCTGGCTGGGTATTGTGTTGGGAAACTTTTTGCTATTTTGGCAATTTTGTCCCCGATGCCAGCAAGTTAAAGCATGAGAGGTGCTTTTAGCGCTTACAAATGTATGTTTAGGCAAATAAAAACTATTCAGTACATCTCTCCTAAACATGCATGTTTCCCATGTTTTATCCCCCCCACATAAATAATCTAGAAGACTATAATTTACTTACTGTCTACATCTGAGATGGAACGGATAGATCGTGAGAGTTCTTTAGCTTCTGTTGCAATGGCTGCCGTTATGCCAGATCTAGATTTTCCCAGTCTTGGTAGATGGGTGGAGAATGTGGGGATTCGTTCACTGTAGAAGAAATAATATTTAAAGTAAGTTATTCACTCAGGATTCCCACTCAAGCTAAATTGTCATCAACGTCCTACAAAATGGCCTTTCACAGAGTATCATTACATCTCTTTGTGATTGAACCAAATCAATTTAGCAGTAAATGTTATGCTGTGTAGGATGAGAGGGGGCGAGGAGCACCCTGTGCTAGAGTCTTTCAGAGGTAACAGTTTTGGGGTATTTTAAAAGTGTTTCCAAGGTCTACTCTACTCCTCTTTCCCTTTAAAAGGGTTATTAAACCCTCACGTGTTTTTGCATATACCTATTGCTAGCAAGCAGTAGATATATGCAAAAACATTGGGGGGAAAAATCCTTTTAAAAAGGGTTTAAACTTACCTATGTCTCCGCCACGCGCTCCCGTCCGAGCATCTGAAGAGTCTCGGGCGGCCGCAAAGGATCTTGGGGCGGGCGCATGCGCACTTCAGATGTTCGGACGGTAGACGAGGAAAGACACAAGGTAAGTCTATGAAGCAGCGTGGACCCGCACAGACTCAGAGAAGGACAGAGGAGTTAGAGCTGGATTGGACACCCGCACCAGTGCTGGAGCGACAGCTGAAAAGGACAGTAAAGAAGATGATCGAATTAAGAGGCATAATTTAAGGTATGTCCCTACAGCAAGATTGGGAAGGCGGGGGAGTTTGACTTTAATATCTTTCTAGTCACCACAGAATCACTAAAAGGTCAGGCTGTAGAACAGTTACATCTGACAAACTCAAGTGTCATTCACTAGCTCAGAACTTCATTTTGGCATCCAAGGTTGCTACATCTTCAGCTGAGACCCTGTTGTTTGCCCCGCCCACACCCCCTGGTGTCACCGTCTTAGTTTACCCACAGCATTGACAAGATGAAGCCAGGTTCTACAGCTGATAGCAAAAAAATCTCCTTCCTGTGGCAATCATGTATCACTGCTTCCTGCACAGACCAGCAGACATTGGTTTGAATTTGAGATGCCGACTCAATTGCTGACTTTTGTTTAAAAGTCAAAATTTGCATATCAGTAGCTGGTCTTTAATCTACTTAGGCTGCAATTTGGTAAATGGAAAGGTTCTCTTGAATGCTAAGGCACATATCTTAAAGCAATACAGGCAGGGAAACAACCTGTACCCGTATAGGTCAAAAGGACTGTACTTTTAATACATTTCGCCTTCTTGCACACTGGTGTGATGGACACTGATGTTCTTAGATGCTACTGAAAAAAGGAGATGTACATTAACGTGTAGCTCCCTCCTGCTTCGGTGTGGTTGTGACAAAAAAATTTCAGCCAAGCTTTTGTTGTCACTAGCCATTCAATGGAGAATCCATAGAGGGTGAAGAACTAAAAATGCTACATCAATTCAGAATGACTTGTAAAAAAATTATCTAGGAAGAAATATGGTGAATGTTGCTCCAATAAACATATTCTGTTAATCATAACCAGCATGGGGGGTCAGAGACCTCATGGAGGTAAGGTGTTGATTGCATTTGCATTATCAACCTGCCCAGAGAAAGTTGTAAAAATGAAGAAGCCAAGCTTGAATAGAGGTGAGGGGGGTGAGACATCTATTGTCCGTCACATACAATGCAATCAACACCTTATCTCCATGAGGTCTCCATGCTGGTTATGATTAACAAATTATGTTGATTGGAGCAACATTCACAATATGTATTCCCAGAGAATTTTTGTGCACGTCATTCTGAATTGAGAAAGCTGGTTGGATGACCAGTGAAATGTCTTCAAGGAAAATACAGCAAGTCCAGTTACCTTAATTTATTTTTTACATATATAGGAGGTAGAATGTATTTTCTTCCCTCCTGGTAGCAGATAAAAGCTGTAGGGGAGTGAAGGAAAGGTGAACATGTGCTGCTAAGGAGAGGGGCTCTTAAGAGGACCGGTTGCTTTACCCCGCATGGGCAATGAAAAGGTTTTCTCAAGTGTTACAACAGTACAGCCTTTCTTTGCAGGTAAATAGGAACGATGCTGCATGTGAGGTCTGATTTTTGCTATAAGAAACTAAGGGGGGGGGGGGCGGCCCTACGCAAGCTTTAGCTAATTTTTTGAAAGGTATGGCTGTACTTTAAAGAATTGAAAATAATGCAAAGCAGCTCTAAAAAAAAAACAGCTTCTTGGACAACAAGAGATCACCTTACAGCTTGTACGGTTTTAAAAAGCCCGAGATATAGACAGACCTCTTGCATTTCCACATTATCCGTGTGGATGTTAGCTAGCCCCGGAAGAGATCTTTATCGGGATAATGTGCAAGAAAGAAAGAACTAGGTCGAGGATCAAGCAAGTTCAGTGTGATTATGGTCCATATATGCAGCATAATATGGTTATTAAAAAGCAATCCTGTGACAGCGCACGGAGCAGACCAGAGTGAACCCATGTCAGCCTCTGTATGTAAAGCCATCGCTCACATGCTACTGTTACTCCCAGAGTTACATTAAATGCTACAAAAGAGAAGAGAATAGGTTCCGTTTTGTTGATTACTGTAATTTACATGGTTGATTCAGGCAAAGCCCTTTCCTTTTAACTGTACGTCAGGTTCAGCTGTTAAGGCCTAAGAGGGCGCTTTGTAGCCTTTATATGCCATTAGCGTTAATAGGTTTTCAACTAATCTACTAAATTTATCTAGGTTTTAGGACTTGCTATTAGCCGTGACCTACCCCATATTCATGTGGACCTATCGGTAACTTTACAAAGCTTGTATGAATGCATTTCCGACAGGTCACAATATACAGAAACAGTATCATTTTTCAAGATCGTTCAAATCTGTCAATGAGCAAGTGACAACTAAATGCAACTCGGCCTGAGAAGAGAGTGCTGGGGAAAATGATAATCCCCCACCAGTGATCACTCAGTAGGATTATTATTATATTATATTATATAGAATAAAATATTCAAAGCTAAGAACATAATGGCTACTAGATCTGTAAAAAATAGGGATGCACCAATACCGATACTAGTATCGGTACCGATGCTGAGTATTTGGGCGAGTACTCATACTCGCCCAAATGCTCCGATGCCTAGCACGATACTTCCTGTATCAGGAAGCCGGGCAGCGCGTCATTACACGCTGCCCGGCTTCCTGATTGGCCAGGAACCTGGCTCCATGCTCCCTCATCACAAAAAAATACCCCTGCACTGCAAAGGTTAACTGCTCGTTTTTTGCTCCAGGACTGGCGCTCACAGCCTCTTCCGCCCTTTGTTCCAGTGGCCTAACATCCACTGATGTCATCACCTCTAATGCAGGGTACATGTGAAGTTACCGAAGGACAGTCCACAACCAGAGCACGGGGAAGAGAGGTGAGCAGGGATCAGGTAATTACCACTGCTTTAACCCCTTCGTGACTGTTTCCCGGGCTCCGTTGCCCCTCCTACGGGCCCGGGTCCGGCTTCCTTGGTGTCCACGGGGAGGAGATCGACGAACTTCCGTTCATCTATCCCCTCCCCGTTCTATGGGATCACTATTGCATCACTTCCGGTCCCTGGGCTGTCAGTCCTGGGCTCCTGCAGCCCAGCTATAAGCTATTGAAGTGCGATCTGCACTTCAATAGCTTATTTCTAATGTAAAGGTGACACTGGGTTTACATTTGTCACTAAATTTTGGGGTTTAATAAGGAGTTGCGCTAATATTGAGCAACATAAAAATTTGCAACTACCACCATTATATTGTATAGGGTCTTGGCATTCAGAAAATATATAATGTGTGGGGGTTTTAAGTCAGTTTCAGGCCTAAAATGTGGAATATAACATGGGTGCAAAAAAATTAGAAAAAGGCCTCAGTCATGAAGGGGTTAAAGCAGTGGTTCTCAACTGGTGGGTCGTGACCCAAAGGTGGGTCGCGACCCCATGTTCACTGGGTCGCAACATGCATTCCACTGCACTAGGAGAGAGGCTCCTCAGCCTCCCCCATAGTGCAGCACTGTCAGTTCTTCTGCCGAGCAGCCATTCAAAATATGCTGCCCGGTGCTGAGTGTCAGCTTGGGGTGGGGTGGGCTGGGGGTATGGCCGTGAGGGAGCTCCATCCATACATGCATTGCTTACAGCTCCCTTGTGTGCCCTTATGGCTACAGCTACCACGCAATTGCACCTACTGTTCATTCTTGTGGGGGAATTGCTGGTGGTGTGCTGCGTTGCAATTTATTTAAATGGCACCCTAAACACACCTCCTGCCAATAGTTTGATTGCACCAGAACATGCGGTACTGCATTGCCGGGCATTCCAGTGTGGTGCGACTTGGGTCGCAACTTAATGACCAAGGACAAATGTGGGTCCTGAGGTTATACAGGTTGAGAACCACTGGGTTAAAGAATCCCCTGGACAAAACTGAGCAGTTGAACCTTGCAGTACAGGAGTAGCCACACTGCAAGGGGAGGTTTTTTTTTGTATATGAAAATAGACTTTAAATGTGGGTTGTGTTTGAAAGGACTAAACCATAAAACTCAGGCCAATTAAATTTAGTGTGAGCAAAAAGGTATAAAATAAATATGGAAAAGACCTAAGGCCTATTTCTTGAAATCTGCCAGAGCAACTGAAGTTGAACCCATGCAGATAGGAGCACTTCACCTGTCTAAACCCCTACCAAAGTTATTGTCTTGTGCAATTCAAGTTTAAAGACATGTTTATTTTTTACCATGAAAAGAAAGAGAGACATTTTAAATGAAACTAATATCATCTTCTAATACTGAAATGTGCTCTATTGATCCATCTGCAACATTCATTTTAATACATGCACTACATTCTACACTGAAATACTACAAATGAGAACATTTGTCACATACTTACCAAAGATTTAATGTAGAACCTTGATCGTCGGAGAGGACCTCGTGGACATTCTGGATGTGTAATCACAGAATAGATAAATATTAAACAAGTGTAAATAACCTTGGAGACCAATTAGAATGTTCTAATTAAGAATAAAGTTTTAAAAGTGAGAGCTGTTAAAATCCTTAAAGTACAACCAACTAAAACCTTAATCTTCTGTCTTTACGATGGGCAGGCAGCAAGTGCAGGAAATAAAGGGGAAATGTTGTGTCTTTGCCCACCCTGTCCACCATTACGACATGCTTATTGACAGAATACCTTAAATAGGGAATGGAAGGTTAAAGTGACACTAAACTCAGAAGTCAAACCTTTAGGCCTTGTTCACACCAAGCGCAGAGCAGGTGCAGAGCAGATCAAAACTGCGTCCAATGTATTCCAATGGTATTTTTTGTTCCATTTTACCTGCTCTGGATCTGCAAACGCATCAAAAACGCATGCAAATGCCTGGAACGCACTGAAAGCCCATTTTAAACTTAAAACTTTTTTTTTTTTTGCCAAAAACGCGTAAAAAACGCATCTAAAAGACTAGCATGCGTGTGCAGAAACCTGACCGGATCTGCTCTGCATTTGGTGTGAACAAGGCCTAAAAATGCCTTAACATACCCTAAGTATTAGCAAAAATGTATCACTCGGCTGTAGATCGTCAAATCATCTCTGAATTGGTGCCGACACTGTCCTTCCTTCTGGAGGGGGCTACTTTTGTTCCCCATGGTCCCTCTGTGTGTTGTGGAGTGGCCACCGCTCCCAGCTCACTCCCGTGATGGACTACAATCTCATGTTTACTTTACTAATTTGTATTGAGAATGTATTCCATCCCGGGAGTGAGCTGGGAGTGGTGGCTACTTTACAACACACACAGGGACCATGGGGAACAAAAGTAGCCCCCCTCTAGAAGGAAGGTCAGTGTCAGCACCAATTCAGAGATGATTTGAGGATCTACAGCCGAGTGATACACAAATAAGATACATTTCTGTTAATAGTTATTGTACTTGAATGTATTTTTAAGATTTAGGTTCACAGTTTAGTGTCACTTTAAAAAGAACAGTGATCAGGTTAAAGCTGAACTCTAAGCAGATATAAAAAACACAAATGAATGCAGCTCTGTATTCATTATTACATCATTAAATGCAAACAGTACAAGTACCAGAATTTGGCTTGGTATCAGCCTCTAGCAGTTAAAGCACAGCAGAACTCAGAGTGTGAGAGGAGAAAGCAGCACAAGCACAGTCAGGTCAAGCACTGAGAAGAAGCATGCTAAGGCAAGAGAAGGCTGACAAATAGATGACGTCATCACTGTGCTGCTTCTCCTTTCACTGTTCAGTCACAGGCTAGAGGTGTGTCTGGGCTCAAAGGAAGCAAGTTGAATGATGATGGCAATCAGAATGAGGACATCTAGTGGTGAGAAAAAAAAGTACTGAGTGGCACAGCACCGGATTGAAGGTAAGAACTGCAACAAAAGCTGTATTATTTTTTATCATGGGCTGTTTATTTTTGTATTGTTTTCGGCTTTTGACCTAAAGCTGTATCTGAGGAACTGTGGTGCAAGGATCACCATGCTTCTGCTTCATTCACTGTGATTTCTTCCCTTTTCCTGATGGTTTTTGAATATTACCACACCAGTCATCAGCTTACCACCAGTCCTCAGTTCTGACATGAGGAAACACATACCTGCTGCCTTAACACCCTAAAATCTAACTTGCTGAGCAGCAGATTGTAATGCAGTTAAGCAGTGTAGTATTGGGCTGAATATACTGCAACATGTTTCTGGCTGTATGGTCCCTTCAAAAAGTCTTACGCTTAATTCATGAAAGCCTTGCCACAGTTTTGTTCAGAGATCTGACACATGCAAAATATTCAGATAGTTATCTGCTCCACATTCGCAATGCATTGCAATGGCTGCGACAAAATAAAAAAGAATTCCTGCCAGTTCCTAGATAAGAAATCTAATCTAATGGCAATGAAATCTAATGGTAATCCCACATAGCAAGGATAACTTGCCACAAACTTGTAGGAGGTTAAATTGTAATTCTTGTTAACTTGCTGCACACATTCCCTGGCAAGTTGTAGACTTGCAGAACACTTGCAGCACAAGTTCTAGTTGACACTTTTTGAATTTGTAGCAAATTTGTTTGGCAAGTCTACAGCAAGATTCCTGCAGGTCTTAGCAAGAGCTCTGCAAGTGTACAGCACTTTTGCTAAGCACGTTGATCTGGAGACTTGCAATGCTGACTTGCTGTAATTGTGCAACTTGTGAAGCTTGGCAAGTCTAGCAATAGTTTAGCAAGTCATTTTCAAACTTGCAGCTCAACTGCTTGCTATCTGGGAATGAAGAACAACTTTAAGTTGGTGTACAGAGACAGCCAGTGCTCAGAGTGGGGCCAAGGTATAGTAAAGAGAAGGGCGTGTTAATGTGCCCCACTTGTTACTGGGTGCTAGGACACTGTCAGGAGCACAGCAATGTCAGTTGCTAGGAAGCTATCAAATGAACATTGTAATTGGTTGCTAGGATGCTGTCGGCTACACAGCCAACAGCGTCCTAGCAACTAAAACGATATGCAGCCATTAGCTTCCTAACGACCAAGGACACTTGGTTAGTGTCCAGTATGCCACCCACCCACCAATGCCTCCATAGCCTTGGTTCTCAACTGGTGGGTCGTGACCCAAAAGTGGGTCCGAACCCCATGTTCAGTGGGTCCGCATGTGCCTTCCACTTTTCTAGATTAGACGCTCCTCAGCCTCCCCCTAGCGCAGCACCGTCAGTTCTCACGCCAAGCAGCTATTCAAAATATGCTGTACAGTGCGATTAACGCACTGTACCACGCAATCGCACCTACCACACGTTCTAGGGTGAGAAGTGCATTGCCATTCATTTGAATGGCACCCCAAACGCACCTCCCACCCACAGTTCTATTGCCCTCATCGGAACTCGCAGTACAGCAATGCCGTTGCGTTCCATTGCAGTGCAACTTGGGTCCTGACTTAATGACCAAGGACAAATGTGGGTCCTGAGGTTACACAGGTTGAGAATCACTGCTCTATAGGTTTCCGACGGGTACATGAATCTGCCGCTAAATGTCACATTAACTTTAGACAGTTTTTTTTATGTGTGTCTACAACACTTTTTAAGAATTCCAAGGTTGGCATACAGTTAATTCAAATAGCAAAACATTGTGTCCAGAACACAGGATGTCCCCACATATCTGCATCTATAAATATTAAGTGGGAGAAGACTGATTACTTGTCTTTACAGATGTCACTCTCCACAGTACCACTTATGTCTGTGTAGCCTCCTTGTGTGTGATTGAACTCGCAGGAAGTGGGCCAGAAGTGCTGCTGGAAAGTAAACCGAAATTCTGAAAATATCCCGGACTATACAGCGTGGTAACAAATGACAGCGGGAGAGCCTAAGCCTGGAGCTCATGTCTGTGCGGATGACATTTATTTACAGCAATGTCAGTTGCTAGGAAGCTATCAAATGAACATTGTAATTGGTTGCTAGGATGCTGTCGGCTACACAGCCAACAGCGTCCTAGCAACTAAAACGATATGCAGCCATTAGCTTCCTAACGACCAAGGACACTTGGTTAGTGTCCAGTATGCCACCCACCCACCAATGCCTCCATAGCCTTGGTTCTCAACTGGTGGGTCGTGACCCAAAAGTGGGTCCGAACCCCATGTTCAGTGGGTCCGCATGTGCCTTCCACTTTTCTAGATTAGACGCTCCTCAGCCTCCCCCTAGCGCAGCACCGTCAGTTCTCACGCCAAGCAGCTATTCAAAATATGCTGTACAGTGCGATTAACGCACTGTACCACGCAATCGCACCTACCACACGTTCTAGGGTGAGAAGTGCATTGCCATTCATTTGAATGGCACCCCAAACGCACCTCCCACCCACAGTTCTATTGCCCTCATCGGAACTCGCAGTACAGCAATGCTGTTGCGTTCCATTGCAGTGCAACTTGGGTCCTGACTTAATGACCAAGGACAAATGTGGGTCCTGAGGTTACACAGGTTGAGAATCACTGCTCTATAGGTTTCCGACGGGTACATGAATCTGCCGCTAAATGTCACATTAACTTTAGACAGTTTTTTTTATGTGTGTCTACAACACTTTTTAAGAATTCCAAGGTTGGCATACAGTTAATTCAAATAGCAAAACATTGTGTCCAGAACACAGGATGTCCCCACATATCTGCATCTATAAATATTAAGTGGGAGAAGACTGATTACTTGTCTTTACAGATGTCACTCTCCACAGTACCACTTATGTCTGTGTAGCCTCCTTGTGTGTGATTGAACTCGCAGGAAGTGGGCCAGAAGTGCTGCTGGAAAGTAAACCGAAATTCTGAAAATATCCCGGACTATACAGCGTGGTAACAAATGACAGCGGGAGAGCCTAAGCCTGGAGCTCATGTCTGTGCGGATGACATTTATTAACCAGCAGCAAACATTCACACGTTTTGTCTGATGTTTATCTCATTTAAGAAAGTTACATTTAAAGTTTACACATTACAGAGGGTCGCTTTACCATATGTTCATATCAGTTTGAATAAAATCCGGACTTACTGCTGCGTTTATTACTTATGTCTAAAACATGTAAATGCTATACATTGCCTTGTTCCTCTACTCGTTTCCCTGAAACGCAATGGGGGGAATTTATCAAAACTGGAGCAGACAAAATCTGGAGCAAATTTGCACTGCAACCAATCAGCATCTATCTTATTTTCAAATCTTACCCGAGCAAACTGAAGAGAGAAGCTGATTGGTTGCCATGGGCAACTGTTCCATGTTTGGTCTGCTCCAGTTTTGATAAATTCCGCCACTTACAGCAACTCTGTCATCTTCGGCCTCTGTTCACATTGAGCGGTTCGCAAATCACGCGTTTGTCGCGCGATTTGCATTTTGCGCGATATCGCGCGATTTGTCGCACGATATCACGCAAATGCTTGCATTGAGCAAGCTTGAATCACGGCTAAATCCGCTCCAAAAAGGGTCCTGCTGTAGCGACGC